GGCATTTCATATAAATGGAATCATGCATCACATGTGAACTTCTATGTCTGGCTTCCTTTACTTAGCATCGGGTTTTCACGGGTCACCGTGAGTTGGAGCTATTTTTAAAGCCCATTCGTAGAGAGGAGACATGAGAACCCAGAGAACCATGGAGAGGCTCACAAAACCATGTTTTGTGGCGTCTGCTCTTAGAGCCACTTTGAACCCAGGAGCCTGGAACGTTGTTGGCACACAGCAAGGTTGAAAAATAAATGAGCAAATGTCTTCCCTTCCTAGTGACACATCCCTCCAACTGGGGAGGAGAATGTTATGTTGCCAACAGGCTTCTATGTGGGGTGGGGGGCTCAGGTGAGCGCAAGTGGCCCCAGCAGCCTCTGGGGCCAGCCTTGGCATTTGAGGTCCTCCAGTCAGGGTCTCTGCTTATTGTGAGGGGCTATACTGCCATCTGGTGGCGAGAAGAAAACACAACACGAAACAGCTGGAGTGGCCTGTAGATTTCCTTGGAACTTCAAGGAAAAGAGGGCTTTTTTTGTGGAGCACCTGCCATCTGCCCAGAACTGCTCTGGACCCTTCACAAACAGCTTCAAACTGCAGGGGTCGTGATGGGATATGAGACGGGGAATCAGAGCAGTGAGGTCAACACATTCTTTGACAAGAAGAGATATTTATGATGATTTGCTTTGTGAAAAAGCCAAAAGATATGTGTATGGTACGAGCTGATTTAAAAAAAGGTGGAGTGCCTAAATTTATTTGTATCTGATTGCAGAGGAAACAAACCAAGATGTAAACAGTGTTCTAACTCCTTGGCTGTTGAAGGGGCTTAATGAGAAGATGCATGAGAAATACGGAGGCTGGGGTTTCCCAGGCTGGGGTGTCCCAGCAGGCGTCAAGCTGGCGTCAGGACTAGAATCACATTTGTCATCAACATCATCTCTGGGTGATGGAAATATTTTTCCTTGTTACTTGTTGTATTTTCTGATTTTTCTCTTTTGATCATGTTACTTAGAAAAAAGAAATTAAAAAGAAGAGGGTGTGATAAGCTCCCGCAGAAGCAAGATCATGTTTCATGAATATCACAGCAGCAGGCTGTTCTCTGAAAACACATCACCCACCTGGGCAGGCAAGCCCGGCTGGATCTGATCCTGGCTTTGGGGCCACCAACTCACCCAGGACCTTGGGACCCAAACTCCTGGCTGGGCGGAACTGGGCAAGTTCCATGACCTCCCGGGGGTCACTTTCCTCATCTGTAGATGGGGACGATCACAGGATCTACCTTGCAGGGGGTCATGGAGTTTAAACGAGTTGACACTGGTAAAGTGTTTGCATTGTGCCTGGCACAAGACAAACACGATGCTGCTATTATGACTGGGTAAGTCACCTCCCAACTCAGGGCGTCTATCCAATGAGGGACTCAGACTAGAGCAGAGTTTCTTCAACTACTGTCCTTACACCACCTGCCTGAGAATCATCTGGGAAACTTGCTAAAGTGCAGCTCCTAGGCCTTGGCCCTGACCTACAGAATCAAAATTTCCAAAGATCTGCATTGTTAACAAGGCTTCCATTCGACCTCATAGAAAGTGGAGACCCATGGAAACAGGATATAATTCCTAAGGTCTCTTCCAGCTCAGACATTCTAAGATGCTGGGGTTCGTCTGGAGACCTGCCCAATCTCTTGGCCTCTGTACCCCACTTCTGTAATGAAAGGCAGTTCTTGGCCCAGGAAGGTTCCATAGGAACCTAGTCACGGCTGTCCTTCGAGAATGTTCACAGAACAATATAACTGAGAAAACCTCATTCCACTGTCTGGATACTGAAGTCCAGAGAGAGGAGGGCATTTGTCACACAGTTGGTGATGGAGCTGAGAACACAATCCAGGTCTCCTGACTCTGGGGTCAATGATGTGCGTGTGCATGCATACACATGTATGTATACACACACACACACAAACACACTCTTATTCTTGCTGAGGATGGTCCATGCTATGTGCACAACACAAAGTCAAGGCCTGGCCTACTGCAAGATAATCTTCCATCCAAGAACACATTAGCACACTTCCAAGCCTTTTCACTAATCCTAAGTTTTTCCTTACTTAGGTTAAGTCTTTTGGGCAGAGTAATAAGGGGAGAAAAGGAAAGGGGCAGGAAATATGAATTTTAAAGCTTTGGCTTTAATTTTTTCCTATACTTTTATTGTACAAGAACAAATTATTGTCCTTGTCAAGCAGATTTATTTAAGGTTACCTCAGCCTAGGCAATCTTATTCTTTGTGCCTTGGGTAAAACCCAGGTGCACAGGAGGCACTCCATGTTACTGATGGAAGTGGGGTAACTCTTTGGGTTTTTAGTCTGAGCCAGTGGAAGAATGGGGTTGCCATTTAGTGAGGTGGGCAAGAGAAGTGGAGAGGATGACGAGCTTAGTTTTGAAAATTTTCTGAGATGTCTTTTGGACATTCAGAGAAAGATGACGGGTAGGCAGTTGGGTACAGGATTCTAGAGTTTTGGGGAGAGGCCCAGGACACACACAAGTTTGGGAGAGATGAGCAAACGGATAGCACATAGGGTCATTAGACATGTGGAGGAGGTCTAGTGAGACGAAGGACAGGAATGGCCCAGGCCTGTGCTCTGAGGCACCCTAACTTTTAAATGTGGGCCAATGAGGAGGGGAACAGGAGCCCGAGACTGAGCAGTCAGTGAGGGAAGGGGAAACCTAGAGCGACTGGTCCTCCAGGAAGTCTTGGTTCTTGTCTCATGGAGGAAGGGTCAATTCACTGCTGAGCTGTCAGTACTGCCCAAGAGTCAACTGAGATGGGGACTGAGAACTGATCACTGGGCGAGCAATGGAGACCTGGACAGAAAGGGTTCTAATGGAGTAGTGGGGACAAAGGTCAACTGACCGAACAGGGTGCCAGAGAGGAAAGTAAATTAGAGGACCAATCCAGGCGGGCCCACATTGTGACTAAAAGGAATTCCAAGATCATTCCTTTGACAATTATTTACTGAGCATCTATTAAATGCCAGGCACTGTCCCGGCACTGGAGATAGAGCAGAGAACAAGAGACAAACATCTCAGGTGCTTACTTCCCGGTGGGGAAACAAGAGAAATCTATAGTAGGTTAGAAAGTGGAAAGTCCTAATGAGAAAAACAAGGCTGGGTGCCGGGGTATAGAGAGGTGGGGTGGGGGGAGGCAGCAGTTAGGTGAGGGTACAACCTACAGGCACAGCGATTTGGTAGGTGTGGGGGGAGGTTGAGGAGGCCTTCCTATTTGCTTCTAAGTCCCCAGAGAAACAGGAAGCAAGCTCATGGGCGGGAGGATGGAGCGGGGAGGTTGGAGAACACCGTGCAGACTGAGAAGGAGTTGTCCAGGACGGCACAGGGCCTCGATCAATGAGGAAGGAGGCCACACAGACCCCGGGCTCACCAGGAATGAGTTGTGGTAGAAACCAGAGGATGGCTGCTTCTCACCAGCCTGGCTCAGCTCCCCACGTGCAGGAGCAGAGGGCAAGGCTTTACCAGGGAAGTTTGATAAAGAGGCCGGCGGGCGGATCACAGCACGTTGGCCCATGGGGTGCAGCCTGGGAAAGAGGTAGACAGGGACACGAGGGGTGAGGGGCAGTGAGATGAGCTGACCAATGGGCTCCAGGTCCTGGTGGGGATGCAGGGCTGCCGGGGCTGGAGTACTAGAGGGAGGAGCTGGAAAGAGGTGGCGGGGATGAGAAAGAGGACAAGCGGGAAGGCAGAGGGCGATGACCATCCATGTGCGACTACCAGGCATCAAGTTCAGAGCCAGGCGCGGCCCCAAGGAGACCGTGGGCCTCAGCTTTACCAGCTGCATGTTCTCGTGCAGGCTACAGCCCCCCGCGACCTCAGGCTCTTCCATCTTCAGGGCAGCCTTGCGGGACTGCAGCGCCCTTAACGGTTGGGAACGTCAGGAGCTGAACCTGAATCTGATTTCAGAGCTGACATCCTATTCTGCAACCACGGGTTTTCCATGGAAATCCTCACCTACCCGTGCCTCTCTCGTTTGTCGTATTTTATTTCCGGGCCAGAACTGATGACGACGGTATTTGGAGGCACCTCAAGCATCCTAGTCCTTTGTGCAAGCAGTTCTACAGGCCAGTGACTTCCGCGGCCCACACAGGTAACCGCACTTTCCGTGCACTTGCTCTCATTTTGACCTTCCCGCGACAGCGCTACAGACGCGACTCACTGTCCCGCAGAGGCCAGCAGGTCTGCTGGGCGGCTGAGAGACTGGACGCGTTTAGAAGCTCTGTCAGCAACCAGACCCTGGGCAGGTATTTTCAAGTGGACGAGGAGATCATCTGAGCCTTGTAAGAATGCTGAAAGTTATTCATCTCACGCTGCAGAAAAGCAAACCCAGAGAAGGTTCTGAGAGGTTGAGGAACTTGCCCATGACCTGACCAGGAAGTGGCAGCCAGGATTCAGGCTCTGTTCTGAGGGCTCCCAAAGCCCACTGTCCAAGACGGCACAAGAACTCAACCTGGCACTTATCCCTGCAGGGTGAGCCCTCATTGATGTCTCTTTTCATACCACTGTGGTCTTTGGGTTAATAAAAATATTTGTGGAAACACAATATTATACAGAAAGGCAACTTTTATTTATTCAAATTAAATTATAGTATGAGTTTCCTATACAAATAAAATCTTTTTGTAAATAAAAATACAAAATGATACAAATTTCAATCACGTAAAAATGCAAAAATAACATCTGTATTATTATATACATATATTCTCCCTTTACCACGACCAAAATGTACAGTAGTTACACGCAGTTCACACCACGTCTGGGAGACCGTCTCTCGAGCCTTCTGGGGTGTAAGGCTTGTTCAGTCCCTCGTCCACTTCCATGATGTGCCAGGAGCCCTTTCTTCCCACACGCTGAGCTCAAGGCACTTCCGACGACCATCCTGACTCTGTCAGGAGGGACAGAGTCTAGCCTCTCGGGCTAAAGCCGCCTCTGATGCTGAGCTGCTGGCAGAGGACCTCACTGGTCCAGCTCGCTTTCATTCTGCAGCGTCTTCATCGCCAGCCCCCAGAGGGTCATGCTGGAGAAGAACTGTCCCTCCGAGTTCCTGTACGCAGGGGCGGACGCGCGGCTGCCCAGGGGGTCGGCGCAGTGATGGTCCAGGGCAGCCAGGGACGAGCGGATCGCGGCCATGCCGTCGGCTTGCAGCGGCTCCGTGCCAGCCGAGGCCTCCACGCCTGAGTAGCTGTAGGCCTGGTGCTGCGCCTGCGGCCCGTGAGGCTTGGCAAGCTTGAGGGGACCCAAGCTGAGCTTCTCCTGCTCACTCGCTCCGTGAGACTGAACCAGGGACCGGAACTTACAGTGACCGTCAAATTCTGCCGCTGAGTCTTCTTCCACTGGGTGGACGGGGATTTTAACAGACACGGGCATCAAAGTCAAGGACACGTCCTGAGAAAAAGAATCCGAGCTCTGAGATTTCTCCAGGTCCGAGGTCTCGATGGCCTGCGTGAGCTCCTCCAGAGTGTCCTGCCCCTGGTCATCGGCCCTGCAGTGCATCTTCTTGTGCCGCCGCAGCACGGCAGAGCGGGTGAAACACTTGTTGCAGATGTCACACGTGTACGGCTTCTCCCCTGTGTGAGTGCGGACGTGCCTGCGGAGGTCGCCGGATCCTCCGAAACATTTTCCTGGAAGAAAAAAAGGGATCTTTTCAGAGGAGAACATTCTGGAAGGAGTCCCCTCCACCCCTGCTAAACCCCAAAGGACTCTGCTTTCACGTGAACTCAGCTGAGCCCTGCTGTCACCTGCTCACTCTGATTCCAGACTCTTCCACTCTTCTCCGGCTGTAGCCCCTCCAACCTGCAGCCTTGTGGTCTGGGCGTCTCGTGCGAGGGCTCTGGAGCCCCGTCTCCCTGCACAGGAGTGCCCGCTGGGTGGGCCTGGGCGCCTGCCCCCAACACCCACACTGGGAAACTGCATCAGTTGTGTTCAGATTTTCATAAATCGAACACAGCCAATCTATAGTTTAGAAGCATCTGTTCTGAAGGCACTTATGTATTCAGCTTTCAACATAATTTTACGCATCCTTCTCCAGGTCCTATCTCCTTTCTCTGGGTATAAGCTAGAGGTAGGGGATCTCGTCCCGTCACAAGAGTAGGTTAGAAGATCGGAA